ACAGAGCCCCTGTGACCCAGGGGACCCCTCCCATGCCTGGGGCTGGGAGCTTAGGTCTACAAGGCTGCCCTGAAGCCAGGTGGTGGGTCGGGGCAATGTTGAAAGGAAACCACATGGGGGCGCCAGAGCAGGAGGTCCCATCCAGGTCCCTGCAGAGTGGGCGGAGCCCCAGCCTGGGGACCTGCCAAGAGCCAGAGGAGGGGCAGTTCAGCCAGGCACACTGGGCGGCAGTTGCAGGGCACGTCCAGGAGATTGGCTGGTGATGATTCATGGCGATATTAACAAGATCACCTTTACTTACTCTATTACTTACCTAGGAGAGCCGTGTCCCCAAGAGCAGAGACTAAAGAGGAAAGCCTCTCCCTTTAGGAGCGTCATCTTAACGTGCTCACCTTCTCCACGCGGGCATTTCATACTTCAGTTCCCACCAGTGCTCGCGTGAACGTCCTCAAAAGCTCCTGTGTGAATGGCCCGCTGGTCACCTCTTTAGGATGAAGTCCCTGCAGTGACCCAAGAGCACAACTGTTTCTAGGTTCCTGACCACACTGCCGACTGCCTGCCGGAAGATCCCCCCGGAAGACCCCAGAGGCTCAGGAAAGGGCTTCCCCAGTCTCACCGACGATGCCAACCTGGGGGATAAGAGGGGTGTGTAATCTGATCAGGACACATCACGGTGCGTGTGTGTGTTACATTGGATCATTGCACAAACGAACTGATCAATAAGGAAATGGAACGACCCAGCAGGGAGGGTCCCACCACCATCGCCAACATGGAGAGATACCTTCTTTCCTGTGGTTCTGTAAGGACCCTGTAAACGCCCTGCATACTTCACGTAACTTGCAACCCCAGTGTAGCCTCAATTTTAAATGCACTTTTTTCTTGGTGTCTTCTAAACGCTTTCTTCATTTCTATTCTGTGCTCTACATCCTAGTCTGAAACCACCATGTGGATGGACATTGTTATTAATATTATTAAGCAGGCAGCTTGTGATCAGTAGGAAAAGAGGGGGAGGCCAGCGTCCCCAGGAGTCCACAGCCTCCTGTGGAGTTGAAGTGAGAGGAGAGGAGGGGTACACGGGGGCCTCGGGAAAGCCCACGGCTGAAACCAGAGGCCACATCACACAATAGCAGTGACCCCAGCAGAGTCGGCGTCAGAGGGGCTTCAAGAAGCCACTGTCACACCAACGTGGCTGGAGCCACATTGATGAGCAAAGCCAGAGATGAGCAAGGACCCAGTAAAAGGGCAAATATGATCGGCCACAGATTAGGAAAAACTCATCAGCCCTGGAATAAGGTCAAAGGAAACTCAAAAACACAATGAGGTAGAAAATAGGGTAGGACAATTGACACCAGAAAGGTCACATCAGTGCACAATGAGGGCCCAGGTGCCTGTCAGGAGGACGGGCCGTAAAAGGAGGAGTTTATCAAAGAAATAATAGAAGTTTATCCTGAGTCAAGAGAAAGCATCCCTCCATGTTGAGGAAGTCCACCCACAGGTGCGTGGCTCACTGCGTGCCATCTTGGCAGGCCACAGTACCCAAATGTCGGGTCAAACATTATTCTGGATGTTTCCACCCTAAAGGGTGGCTACAAAACACAGTCATCACTGGCGGGACAAGAGGAGAAGCTGCCTTTGGAAGCGACACTTGGACACTGGACCCCATCATCTTTGGACATGCTACTGAAGCCTCAGCCACTGCAATAAATCAGGAAAAACAAGAGAACAGTGTGCAGATCAGAAAGAAATAAAGAAAACTGTCATCACAGATGATTCAAATGTGAATGAAACGGACCCAAAACAATCTAGAGATAGATTCTTCTAAGGGGTAAGGATTTCACGGAGCTGTGAGGTGGCGCATTGGTATTCTATACACCATTGACAAAGACAGAATGGATTTTGGAAAGGTAACACCGAAAGTGTCCTCAGAAAACAGCATTATGAAAGGGGGGACAAATCACTGAAGGACACATAGACTGCTACTCAGAAGGCCTCAGTCACAGACACCAGGAAAAGCTTTGGGACACCAAGGTTCGTTCTAGGAACAAGGATAAAAAGCCAACATGGTGGAGGGATCATCCCCAGATCCACCTGCAGACTCCACACAGTCTCATCCAGTACCAGAGGCTGAGTGTGTGTGTGTGTGTGGTGTGTGTGTGGTGTGAGAGAGAGAGAGAGAGAGAGAGAGAGAGAGAGAGAGAGAGACTTACCTGCTGCTTCTAAACTTAAGTACTATTACAGAGTACCAAGGACACTTGAGATGTCCTGAAGAGTCAACTAAGACGACAAATAAGATTACCTAAAAGTCAAGAAGTCGCTCACCAAAGACACCAATAAGAGAGTCCCTGACACACAGGAGACAGACGACTGATAGAGGGTTCCCACCCAGTCTCCCCCAACCCCGCCTTTCTCTCTGAGAGAAAACACACATGGATAATTATGAGCTTTCTGAAAAGAGAGGCAGCACCAGGGTCTTCCTGGACATACTCACTACACAGACAGGACAGGAACTCGGACCTGAGTGCCGCCAGTGCTCAGCCTGGTCCGTCTTCTTCAACACTAGGCTAGATAAGCACAGAAGACCCTGGAGGAAAACAAAGAAATCCTAAGATAATCTGAAAAGTTCAACACACCTTTATGATTTAAAAAAAAATTGTTTTTAAAGCAACTAGAACTAGAAGCTGGGTTCTCATGCGGGCGAAAGGCATCTCAGAACCCATGCGCCCTGCTGTCCCCTGAGTCAGGGGACATGGGGGTGTCCCTCTTGCCACCTCTCTTCAACATCATGTTAGAGGCTGTAGCCAGGACAATTAGGCAGGAAAAAGAAATAAAGGGCACCTAGTTGGAGAGGAAGAAATAAAACCATCTCTCTTCACCAGGGACGTGGCTACAGACAGAAAAGGCAATGGAATCCACCAGAATCTATCAATCTCAAAATCTCCCAGAACTAATAAATAAGTATGGCAAAGCTACAAGGATCAATATACAAGAATCATCACCAAATCCTGGACACTAGCAACAAGCTTTCTGAAAATGAAACTAAAAAACTATTTTATACAATAATACCAAAAAGGAAAATACGGAGAAATAAAATTTTTAAAGTATAAGACTCATGTACCCAATCTGCAAAGTACTACAGAAAGCAATTAAAAGGCTGAGCAAACAGAAAGAGCCCGCACCCACAGCCAGTCTCCACTTAAGGTAGCACCATCTCCAGGGCTCTGCAGCCATGCTGTCCTCGTCAAATCCCAGGCTGCTCTGCAGAAGCGGACAAACTGGCCCTAAAAGTCACGTGGAAACACAAAGGGCATTAAACAGTCAATCTTGGAAAAGAAAAGCAAAACTGGAGAACCCACCCTTCCTGACTTTGAAACTCATTACAAGCTGCAGTAATCAAGAGAGCATGGCCCTGGATAAGGACGGAGAACGCACAAGTGCAAGAGGCTTGAGGAACCAGGAACCGCTTTCCTACTTCAGCTGATCATCAACACTCGTCCCAGACCATCCAGAGGGGAAAGAACCATCTTTTCCATAAACGGTGTTGGGTCAAGTAAACCTCCATGCTGAGAAGAGCAAAGGTGACCCATACCTCCCATCCGAGTCAACTCAACACGGATGAAAGACTTCAGCCTAAGTGCTTGACCTTGGACTAGGCAACAGTGCACACGCACAAAAGATATTAAATTGGACATAATTAAAATTAAATATGTTTTGCTGCAAAGGCCACATTAAGAAAGTGGAATGGCAACCCGAGGAATAGAAGAAAGACCTGCAAATAATGTATCTCATCAGTCTAAGATGTGCTTCTGAAAAATAAGATCTCTCAGTTTCACAGCAGGCAAGGATCTGACATTTCTCCAGAGTAGACACAAATGAGCACCTGCAGAGATGCCAGCATCCTTGGTCCTCAGGGTAGCTGCTCAGCATCCTCAGCCCCTCAAACCACTTGAGACACCACTCTACACCCACTGGGTAGATGCAACCAGAGACAACTGTTGGCAGCCCGTAGAGAAATAACACCCTGGGCTGGGGTTGTGGCTCAGCAGCAGAGCGCTCACCTACCATGTGTGAGGCCCTGGGTTCGATCCTCAGCACTACATAAAAATAAATAAATAAAATAAAGGTATTGTGTCCTACCAAACTAAAAAATAAATATTGAAAAACAAAAGAAAAATAGAAATGATACCCTTTCACCTGTAGGTGAGGGCGTGAGCAGTCTGAGTTCTCCCAGAGGTTAAGCCTGACAGGTAACCATGGTCCATCTCCTCAGTAGATTCCCAAGAGAAATGAAACCGTGTTTCCCCACCAGAACCTGTACAGGAGTGTCCTGGCTGCATCCCTGGGGATAGCTGAGAGGTGGAACCAAGCTAAGTCACAGAAACAGAAAACAGAGAAGCAGAAGGTGCTGTGTCCAAAGGCTGCATTCGGGCACCTGGAAAGCATCATGCTCTTGAAGGAAGCCAGCCATATAAGGCCCTAACCATGATCCCATTCCCATGAACTGTCCACAATTGCAGATGAGTCTGGGTGTGACAAAGGAAGTGGGGGACAGGGCTTCAGGGTGGTGAAATGTTTTAAAAGTGATCTTGGGACAGTCCCATAACTCCACAAACGCGCTTAAGGCTACTGGATTGCGCACGTTAACTAAGTGAATGGCACGGTGTGGGCTTTACAACTCCATGGAGCTACCATCTGAAAATAAAATCGAAAGGCAAGTCACGGCCTCCGACGTACAGGTATCCCCCAGGGAACGTGCTAAGGCCTTATTTTCCAACTTTACGACAGTTTATAAATGGGAACAGGCCTCTTAAAATGTGATACTCTTTTCAATCCAAACAAAACCTTCCTCCGGTTTTGTCCCACTTTCGCCTCCTTCCCCTTTCGCCGGCTCCTCCTTCCCCGACGTCTGGCCGCCCTCCGAGGCGAGGCGCGGGGATCGGGCGCAGGCCCCCAGCAGCCCTGCTCGCCGGGGCGGCCGGGGAGGGCTGGGGGCGGCCGCTGTGACCTGGGGCGTTGCAGACACCGCCCCCCGCGGCCAGCGATAGGTCCCTCTCCACCTTGGCGACCTGCGGAGCGGGGCGGGGAGAGGAGACGCCGGGCGCGCGCCGCGGTCCGCAGGCTCGGAGGCGCGGCGGCGGGATGTGGGCGCCGGGCGGCCCCCCGGGACCCGCGGGCTGGGACCGCCGCAGAGTGGGCGCGAGGCTGCGCGCGGCGCTGGCTGGGCTGCACGAGCTGCGGGGGCTGCGCGCTGCGCAGCAGGCACGAGTGCAGGGTGCCCTGGCCATGCAGCCGGCGCCCGCTGGTCCCCACGGCCCCAGCGGCCAGGAGCTGCGGCTGGAGGCGGCGCTGGCCGCTCTGCAAGAGCAGCTGGTAAGGGCCGGTCCGGAAGCGCTTTTACCCGGCGGCGGCCGGGATGGGCAGAGGGCGAGGGGCTGTGTGATGGGCCGAGGGGCCGTCCTTGTGCTTAACTGGGATGCAGCTCTGTGCCCACGGAGTGGGACCTGCAGGCCCGGTGCGTAGGTGCGTAGGGGTAACGGGCCGCGGGTTGCGATCCTGGGAGCAGCGGGAGGAACCGCCCGCCCTCGCCCCGCTTGCGTGGGAAGCGCACCCGCTGCATGCGTCCCACGCAGATCGACTGGGGTTGCCTTCACGCCCGGGTTGCAGTCTGCTCTGAGAGGACTCCAGTGCCTTCATTTCCCCTGGCTGGAGTTGCCTGCGCATCCTGGCCTTATCTCAGGGTACCCGGTCCTTCCTATGCGCGCTGGGTTAGGGACAATAGTGCAGAGCGCGCTCTGAACCGGCCTGGACGTGTGCTCAGCTTGAATAGGGTCCAGCCTGGACGTGTGCTCAGGTTGAATGGGGTCCGGCCTGGACGTGTGCTCAGGTTGAAAGGGGTCCCACCGCCATAAGGAAACAGGTGGGGGAAGTCGTGTGTCTGACTATGTCTGAGGAGGGCATCTTTCCCCTTAACAGGCAACCTGAGCCATAAAGAGGAGGGGGGAGCCAAACTCTTGAAGCTTTCTCTACCCTGTGTGTTGCCTGAACTCCCCAACACCAATTCCCTATTACACCCTTGAAGATACTCCAGTTACTACTCTTTGGGTTATTACCAAAGAGTAATAATTTGTTGTGTATAATTTCATTTAATTTATTGAAAACAAAAGAGTTTTTGCAGTATTGCAATATTTTTTTTTAAACGTCAATTAAAATGCTACACACAATGTCTATTTGAGTTACCCCTATCTTTCCAAGTGGAGTTTCTTTTACATTGGAAGTCCAATCTGTCCTGTTAAAAGTTACCCTCTTCAACAAGCCTCCCCAGGAGGCCTCAGCAGCGTTCCAATCAGCTTAGCTCATTCGTGTCCTTAACGGGGCAAATGCTTCTGGATTAAAGAATCAGGAAGTCCAGTGTCTCCAGACACCTCCCTGGACTCCTGTTACCTTCCCTTGCTGCCAGACACAGGTGAAGCCTGCCAGAGGGGGCCTGTCCCCTAACCCTGCAACCTCCCTCTGCACCAGGTGCTCCACAGGAGAGGAGGGAGCTGGTGGGCAGAGGCTCCTTCACACTGCTCCAGCACCTGCCGACCCCACCCGGGCCCTGCGTGTGGGTTAGTGCCCAGCTGTGTCTTGGCTTCTGCGTGGCCTCAGCCAGGCACACACAGCCTTCGGGTGTGTTGCACGCACGCGTGAATGTTCTCAAGGAGGTGGGGGTGTGGCTGATGATTAACCTGGCCTCAGTAACACACCAATCAAGCTGTGGACTCGGGCCTCTAATTACAAGTAGCCTTTTGGAAGAGATCAAACAGGTTTTTGTTTAATTTTCTTTTTTTTTTTTTAATGTGGGGACCAGAAGGAACATGCAGACTCTGACTTGAAACTTTGTTCTTGGAACGGATTATGTGATCAAAAGAGAAAGATAATTGACTTTGGGTGACATCAGCCAGTGCTTAACACTTTTACATTTTTCTTACAGGGAGAACAATTAGGAGTGATACTAGTTCTGTAATGAAGGAAACAATCCAAGGCTTTAGTCCAGCCGCTAAACACTCCAGTAACCAGCTGCCCGCCCCTCCCTGGCTTCACCTGGCCTAGGTCAACCTCCAGGTGTGAAGACAGGAAGAGCCTCTCTCTGGAGCAGCAGCCTTATCCTGCAGGAATTCTCAAGTGAGAACGTGCTCTAGCGTTCCTAGGGATTAAACTGTCTGAGAAGCAGCAAGTGTCAGATGAGCTGCACCTCCCGAGTGGAGTGTCACAGGTCACAGAGATGCATAGAACGCTCTGCTGAATAAATCCATCAGTGACTTTTGTTTATGGAACAAAAGGAGAGATTTCAATATTTATTTCATCCTCTTCCAGGTTTCTATGCTAATGGCCCCTGTGCCCTCTGACCCCGGCAGGTGGCAGTAGCTCAGCCAGTCTGGGCAGAACCAGGGATGCTGTACCTGTCCATGTCTTCAAGAGCCTTGGTCCTTCCCAGTCAGCAGCTGCCACTTTCATTCCTGTAAGGTTTAGCCCCCACAGCAGCACCTAAGTAGAAAGATGTCCCCACTGGTGACCCGGGAGGGGCCTGAAGACCTCTCCCACCAGAGCTGTGCCCCTGGAGGGAAGCAAGGAAACGCATGGGGACCCAGTGAGGTCTCACCCTGGAGAACGTCTCCCGGCTGGCTGTGCTGGTCACGACTTGCTCTAAACGTGGTAGTCGCAGCAAGTCCGTCCTGTGGGCAGGCTCCAGGTTCCGAGCTGCAGGAGTGGGTCACGCAGCTGTGAGCGCCAATGTGATGCTGGGTGCTTCCTGGACCCACCGTTTTGCTTTGTGAATGCTCAGAGAGCCGAGGAAGGGTCGAGAGCTTGCTCAAGATCAAGGATGAGGGCAGGCGTCCACAGGACCTGCCGGGCTTCCCCCAGGTCACAGGACTGTTGTCCATGAGTCCATCAGGGAACCCGGGCCCCTTGGCTATTGATTGATGGAGCCCTTTTTAACCCATCTGTGATGTTTACCCCTCTACAGGACAAGGGCCATAGCTGTGTCCTTCATGCATAAAATATTGCCACTGTACATTCTTAGCCTTCAAGGAAAGAAAGGAAGTGGTTTAGATACCATCGCTAGAGCCTGAGATTTAAGGCACTTTTAATTTCTGCCCTGTGAATACAATTTTGTGATGACTACGATGCAGAACTGTTGATGGGGAGGGCAAAGCAAGTGCAGCTTAGATAATTTCCTGTGGGCCATAAAGTAAGCATTTCAAAGAAAGGGCTTAGCCAAATCTCATTTTTAGAGAACCACATGGGAGAGACATCCTGACTTTTCCAGGTCTGGGAAATGGTTCTGCCCCTGGGCTATTATTAACATCCAGGCTCCAGGCTTGCAAGCCCAGGATCTGCAGGTGTGCCAGGTGATTCCCCCTGTGACCCTGGGTGGTCCACCCATGTGCCATGTCCTGCCTGACCAGCCCCCGACCAGGGGTCAGGCACTCTGACCCAAGAGCCCCCAGCATGTCTTGAGAAGCCTGAAAGAGGAAGGAAGCACAGCCAAGGAACCCCAAGTCATGCACGGTGGAAAGGGCTAGCAGGGTGGTGTGAGCCTGAGTGGTGGCCCCGCAGGCAGGCAGCGGGGCCTAAAGACGTGATGAGTCATCTGTGTGCCTTGACCAGAGTCGGATACCAGCCTGCAAAGGCTGGCCAGCAGTGTTGATCACAAAGCAGCTAGCCCCAAGGCAGACACCGGGCAGACTGTGGCGAAGGGCTGCAGGTGGAGGGGAGGCCATCGGGGTCTGCAGGACTCCTTCCCTAGAAGGCAGGGGAAGTCGTGATTGAGGAGAAGTAGATGCTTTTAGAGATGAAATGAGACCTAAGAGAGGAGCCTGTGTGGCTTTATGACAGGAAAGAAAAATCATTTGCAATTGCTGGGCCTTCAGTAAATCTTTCTTGTTTTGTTTTTTTCAAGAAGGTAATGGGGCTGAGCCTGTCTGTGCTGCAGGGCTTTTTTGGTAGTGCTGGGAAACATTTTGCTATTGTGACAATGGGCATGCTGGGACACCAGGACACTTGGACCAGTCTGGGTGGTTCTGGAAGCACAGAGTTCTGTTCAGCTCAAGGCTGGTTTTGCCATGTTCCTGTTTACAGATGATATTGTGGCTTGGAGACTCCATTCAGACCTGGGAGGTTGTTCCAGGACCTCTGATTTGTCTCCTGGAGGAAAAGCTAAGCTGACTTACATAGTCCCCCCCCCCAAGCTGTGTGTCACCTCACCTGGGGTGATGGGGGGATTGTCAGTCATGACTGGGAAATCTCTGCAGAAGTAATCCTGTCCTGTGAACAGGACACTGTGACTACCTCCTTCCCCTCGTGAAGATTTCTTGTAATACTGAAATTACTGAAGTCGTACCCCAAAGAAATGCAATCCATCACTTTCCTAGGATAAACCCACTTATTAATTATTTGAAATGCTGCAGTCAGCCTGGAAAACATGCTGAAATTCTATGATTGAGAGAAGTCAACATTTACTAACTACTCAGTGCTAGATGATGTAGAACCATGGATATAGACATATATGGTATTTACCTGTGTACATAGATTGTGTTCGTGGCAGGTTAGGTGGGCAGGTAGACACACACATGTGGTTAATGCTCATAAGAACCCACTTGGCTACCAGGTGCCCGGCTGGAGGAGACAGCCTCTGTGGGCAGATCAGAGTGTCCCTTCTCCAGGGAAGACCCCACCATTTATTTCATGCAAAGTTGAATGATCTCTTTGTCTCTTGTGGTGCCCGAGGTTATTCCCTGAATTCTCTCAAACCTGTGGCAACCAGAGCCATCTCTCGGGAAAGGGAAGGGAGGCAGGATGAGGATGTCTCTTCTCTTCCTGGGGACATTCTACCCTGGGAAGGTGGCAGGAGGGCACAGATTCACCATCCCCAGCTGCGTCTCCCAAGGGGCTGCTGTGAGGGTCACTGTAATTGGGGGTGAATTCGTGCCTGGAGCAGAAACAAAGCAGCAGGGTGAATGTCTCCGGGTGGGTGCTCGGAGGTGGGGTCCTCGTGCTGCTCCACCCTCCAGGGAGCTGCTTTCCTGCCTCCCCTTAGGAAGAAGAGCCTTACTGGAAATCGCGAAGCATTTCACAAGTCTGCGTTGGAGGAAAGTGGTTTGTGTGCGCCTCGTTCAGTGTGTGCCAGTAGCACAGACGTTGCTCAGCCTGAGTGAGGGGCAGCCACCGTGAGGAGCCCCCGGCACAGATGCTGCCTTGCAGCCGCCTTTCTGCCCACAGAGCCTCATTTCTGCACCCACTCAACTTTCTTTTTTTTTGCTTCTTAGTCGCAGCTACGACGGCAGGACACTGGGCTGCAGACCCACCTGGACCAGCTGGACCAGCAGATCAGTGAGCTGCAGCTGGGCGTGCACAGGTCTTCTGTCGAGGTCCCTGACAGCGACAGCAGGCCCAGCTCAGGTAGGAGGGCCAGGGCTGTGGGAGGGGCCGCCTGCAGGCCTGCCACCCAGGGGCTGCAGAGCTGATGGGCATCAGAGTGACACCATGTGCCCACAACCCTCTTGGGGACCTTGTCTGAACTGGTGAGCAGTGCTGGCCCTGGGCCTGAGGCTCGGCTGATCTGGAAGTTAGGCGGCAGCTGGAGGCCTGAGAAAGCCCATGTTGTCCGAGAGGACCGAGCAAGGCGCTGTGAGGTGAGGCACAGCTCCGTGTGTACCCGCATGTGGTGGCAGTTTGCCTTGGACGGGACCCGGAGCTTCTCCCTCCCCGGCTCAGCCGTCAGCTCTGCTTGGAGGACACCCACGCCTTCCAGTCCACAGACTTGTCAGCATGTCCAAGGGGACAGGGACGTCCCCTTCCCACCACATCTCAGAGGCGACAGGGGTCAGCCAGTCTCGGCCGACACTTGTGGCTCTGGTCACTTTCGCCTCCATCCCAGGCCGCACTGGGCAAGCAGGTCTGTCTTCAGATCACTGTTGGGAGGTTCCAGTGGCAGCGTGGGGCAGGACCAGTGCTGCCGGCCACCACGCTTTCCAGCCTGGCCGGGCTGTGTGGCGCCTCCCCTGGCCCAGGGCAGAGGTGTCCTGAAATCACCGCTCGCAGGCGCTGGGGGGATGGGGAGATGCCTAAGGCCTGGCTCAGGCTGGACCTGCGGAAGAGACCTCCCCTTCCATGGGGCAGCTACCACAGCTGTCGGAACTGCTGGCCAGGGCAGGGAGGGGTGGGGGCCGGTGAGGCGGTTCTGCCCTTCCCACCAGGCTCACAGCTGCTGGAAGGTTCTGCAGGCTCCCCGCTGGCCCAGGAGGAGTGGTGGGGAGAGGAACCCGGGGTCCTCAGGCAGAATCCACTGCTCAGGGCACACTGACCTGCATATGTCTGCTCTGTCCAGGCTTCTACGAGCTGAGTGATGCGGGCTCCTGCTCTCTGTCCACCTCCTGTGCCTCAGTGTGCAGTGACCGCCTGTCCCCATCCCTGGGCAGTCTGCTGCCTGCGGTCTCCATGGTCAGGCCCAACATGGGGGACTGGCGACCTCGGTCTGCTGATGAGACCACTGTGCCAGCATGGAGACCCCAGCCCATCAAAGAGAGTGGCAGGCTCCTGGACAGTGGAGAGGACACTGGCCAGCCCAGAGGCATGTTCCGGCCCAGGCCAGTGTCTACAGGTGAGAGAGCCAGAAGGGGTGGTCGCAGCCAAGGACAGCCTGTTCAGACCTGCTAGGGATGGAGCAGAGACCCCCTGGGGTTGGCTGGGCACTGCCCTGCAGGGAGAGGAGCAATCCAATGTCTGCATCTGGGCATGATGGACACGCCATCCTAGTATCCTAATGGTGTGGGTTTCCTTAGTATTTAAAATGCATATCAGAAAGTTAAAAGGCAATCCTTCCAAACCCTCTGGTCTGCCTGAGGTTGGGGAAGGTGGAGAGATGAGCCTGCTCCCCCTTAGCTTCCTCCCTGATCCAAAAAAAGGGAAGATGCCATTTGACCTCATTCCATTTCGGTGTAAGACGGAGTTTCGTGCCAGCCATGGCTCTCCTGGTGAAGGCACCTGCAGATGCCCCAGGGGGGCCCAGCCGCCACCTGTGGAACCTGTGCTGCTGCAGAAGCCTCAGCCCCCGCAGCCTGCAGACCCAAAGCAAGGGCCTAAGCTCACTGTGGACAGGGACTGAAGGCCATGGAGGAAGAGCGGGCGCCCACGGCCAGACCGCCCTCACGCCTGACGTCAGTGAATCTTGGTCACTGATGCCCTTGTTCATGGTGTTCTGTTCCAGGAGATCTTGAACGGGTCCTCCCAGTGGACGTGGGGCTCCAGAGAGTTGACCAGGAGGCCACACCCCCCCCTCACCTCTGCCAGGGGATGGATGTGCCATCCCCCAAGCTGGACCCCAAGTACCAGCGTGACCTGGTTTCCAGGGGGGGCCGGGAGGTGTACCTGTACCCCAGCCCCCTGCACGCAGTGGCTCTGCAGAGCCCCCTGTTTGCACTGACTAAGGAGACCCCGCCGCTAGATGGCCATTTGCCCCCCAGGAGCCCTCTTTTGGGCCCCAGGGCTCTGAGCACCACCCCAGCAGGGCCAGTCCTTGAGGCAGGCCCAGCTGGAGCTTACATTGACAGGCTGCTGCGTCTGCGAAGCCAAGAGGCCGCGTCCAGGGGACCTGGTGGGGAGCAGGGACCCGCAGGACATGAAGCATCCCCATCCCCCAAGAAGCCAGATGCCCAGAGACTGGGCAGTGGAGGTCGGCCTTCGAAGCTGGTCTGTTCCCCAGGGAGAGGGGATCTGGGAGTGGCAGCTCAGAGCAGGGCCAGCAGTGGAGACGGCCTTGGGCAGCAGGAGCCTGCACCCCTCCTGCACACCCAGTCCCCCAGACACCCCCGGGAAAAGGGCCCTGAGCCCTGGAGCCTCTGTGCCTTCGGGGAGACCTCTGTGGGCCCCTCTCCCTGCCCCCAGGCACAGCAGCCCCATGGAGACTGCAGCCCAGGCATCTCGTCCTCTTCTGGGAGCGTGGAGTGTGGAAGTCCCCCTAGGGCCCCAGGCCATCTTGTCCACCCACCTTGCACCGCCATCGAAGCCTCCCGGATGGGGCTGAAGACGGGCCACCCCAAGACCAAGCCTGTGAAGGTCAGGACGAAGGCCAGTGACAAGATGCCGAGGCTTGGGAACCAGGCGCCACTGCTGCCAGAGAGACCTTGGGGTGTCCACGCTGCCCCCCAGCTGTCCCCAGAGTGTGGCCCCACACACAGGCCCCAGGAGGGAGGGCTCAGGAGGAGGCCTGTGCTGGCTGGGGTTGCTCCTGGACGGTCCTGTTCTGAGTCCACTCTGTACCCTGTGCCCTTCTTCGTCCCCCTGTTGGTGGCCCAGCGGGAGAGCTACTGGGCACCGTCCCAAGCCCTGTCCTCCTTGGAGACAGCCCCACTTTGTACCGCCGCCAGGAGGAAGCAGCGCAGGTGGCAGTCCACCGTGGAGATCTCAGCCGAGGCCCATCTGGCCAGTGCTCAGGAGCCCAGCCTGGGGCCCGCGAGGTCCCCCGCCAGGAGAGCAGGTGGCCTACAGGCCCAGGGCCGGCCCACGCTGGCCCGCCAGGACGCCTGCTCCGGGAGCCAGTCGGACTCCGCGGAGTGCTCAGCAGAGTGCGCCTCGCTGCTGCAGTCCACCATTGCGGAGAGCAGCGAGGAGGCGGCCAGCGACCACACTGCCAACCGCTTCGGGGATGGGGAGTCCAGCAGCAGCGACTCAGAGGACTGCTTTCAGAGCCACAGCCGCCGCCTGGGAGTGGACGTCGCAGCTGCCAGGCGGGGGGAGCTGGCCTGGCCCCGGGCAGTCCCCCAGCAGCCCCCACGGGCCCCCATGGGTGCAAGGCCTCCCCTACCCCCGGTGCCCAAGCTGTGCCGCATCAAAGCCTCCAGGGCCCTGAAGAAAAAGATCCGCAGGTTCCAGCCGGCGGCCCTGAAGGTCATGACCATGGTGTAAGGCAGGCTCCCTGATGGCCCATCCCTCTGCGTGGACAGGTGTGGGTTTGCAGGTTGGCTTCACTCCTGAGTGGCCACTGGAGGAGCCCCTGGGAGGCCTGGCCTTGGGATATGGCTGCATGCTCTGTGGGGTGATTTTTCTTCCCAGCAGACTCAGGAGAACTTTGAAGTCACAGAGGACACAAGTGGCCTCTGCCCCTCTGACGTCTCTGTCCTGTAGTCTAGTGGTTGCTTTCCTCCCCCTGACCCACTTCAGCCTAAGCCATGCCTCCAGAGACCATTACTGTAGGAATGTGGCGAACTCTCTGCTGGTGCCCGTGTGAACTTGAGCTCATGTTAAGCTCTCCATGTGAATAAACACCAGTTTGCCGTGGTCCTCGCACGGAGAAGCACGCGTCTCCTTGACCTGCAGCCTGGTCCCTGTGCGGCAGGCACCAGGTGCTCCGAGAGCGCCCTCCTTCCTGCGCTGGCCTGCAGGGCAGGAGAGACATGGTGGGAGCAGGGTCCCCCTCGGGGCCCAGGCACTTCCTTTGGGTGTTGTTTTTTTCCAAAGAAAACTCCCCTCGGCCTCTCAAGGAGAAAGATGGAGACTTTTTAACTGAGCTGCTCGGTGAGTGTCTCAGCCTGCACAGCCCACACCAAGCTTTGTCCTGGGCCATCACAGGCTGCTCCAAAGTGCATCCTGGCCCAGAGCTGGAAAAGGGGTTGGGGGCACCAAAGTCCTCACACTTCCGGACCCCCCTTCCTAATTTTGGGAAGAAGCTCTTAAGAAAACTACTGAAAATACTAGTAAATTTATCCCAGTTGTCAAATATTCCTGGAACAAGTAGGCAGCTATGGGTGCAGTCTGAAGGGCCTAACATTGTGAAAGTTGATTTGCATCTTAGAATCCAGAAGAGGACCTCCTGTCCTTGCTGCAAGGCTTCCTGTGCCGGCCATTCCAAGACGCACGGTCCAACTCTCATCCTGTGGGCCCCAGGTGATGGGAAACTGGCTTTGCCAGGACCTAGCCTGTGAGGCCACTGGCCCCTGGGCAAGTCCACAAGGTGCTCGGGGGCTCTGTGTCCCCAGCTGGGCATCCTGGGGAGGTGGTGGCTCCTTCTGCTCACTGGACATCTTCTGTAGCATTTACTGGGGCTTTCAGGAAGCTTCCAGTGAACCACCTGGAAAGTGCACCCCTCCTGCTCTTTGTGAGGCGTGTCCTGTCCTGCATCACCTGTCACTGACCAGGCTCCCATGCAGGCACTGCAGAGGGGAGTGCAGAGGGTTTGGGAGGCTCAGCCTCTCTGCTCATCTCCCTGGAGAGCCGGCCTGACTCCTGATCATTCAGGTGCCCCCTGCCCCAGCATGCAGGCCTGTCCACAGCCCTGAAAACCAGCCAGAACACCACACCACCCCAAACCAGTGGGCAGAAAGGGTCCTCAGTGACCACAGTGCAGAGCAGCCAGGTGCGGCCTTCCCCTTGCCCTGCCCGCTGTGTGTCTGTCTGTCTTCCTCAGCAGCTTGCCCTCTCCCTGTCCACCCTCCTTCCTCTCACTCTCTACTGACTGTCATTAAAGAAAAATGTTCCAGGGACACTTACTAAAGTGGGCGAGGGAGACGCTAGGCAGGACCATCCTGACAGGATCAAGGACACTGCAGTGGGATCCCCAGGAGGCAGGGGCTCAACTCTGAGCAGCATGGGCCAGAGGGACGCTATGGCCAAGCAGCAGGTGGGGGTCTCTGAACAGGAAATGACCAAGAGGGGCATCTGGGGTTGGGGACTGTGCCTAAATCCCCCCACAGGAGTGTCCTGAGGGCAGACCTGGTCCTCAGATTTCCCATAGGGAGAGCCCAGTTGGACCTGCAAGGCAGGGGTTCTTAGGAACCCGACTCAACCAGCCCTTGCCGAGACCAGATTTTACAAAGACACTCACTGGTGGGCTGGGGAAGCTCCAGTAGCCCACCACAGAGTGGTCTGAGGATCCCAGTCTCTCAGTGGGGCCAACAGACATTTTGATTTCCTGAGCTGGACCCTTGCTTTCTGCTCTCAGTTACTCTCAAGGAGGTTTGGAGCAAGTGAATGCAATTCTTATGATTCCTAATGGTTCCCCTGGCTGCGTGCCTGATCCACCCTCAGCAGTGAGCAGGACCGTGCAGCCGGGGGACAGCCAGTGGCCAGTGTGTGGCCTCAGGCTGCTTTCACAACTGGGCTGAACCGACTTCCTTTCATAAATGAGGTTGACAGTAGCTTTGGGTTTAGAATGAAGACCAAATTGACAATGTTAGACGTGGAACCCTGGTCTTCTGGGCTCAACATGAGTGCCTTGAGCCAGGACATAGCCTCCTGGTGGGGTGAAGAGTCCCCCAGGCTCTTAAGACACGTGGGCAGGCTGCAATGCGCAGGCTCTGGGGCAGGTGTAATTCAAGGAAGTAATTACATACTCACAACCAGGCACAGTGACCCATGCCTGTGATCCTAGGGACTCAGGAGGCTGAGGCAGGAGGACTGCAAAGTTCAAGGCCAGCCTGGGCAACTTAGTGAACAACATTCTCAAAATAAAATAAAAAGGGCTGGGATGTGGCTTACTGGTAGACGTCATGCATGGGTGAGGCCTTGGGCTTGACTCCCAGGACAGCCAAAAAACAAAACAAAACGGAAAACACAGTTACAAGTCAGAGCACCAGTGATGGACGAGAAGCCCCTTGAGGCCATGGGTGGATGGTCCAGGGTGGACTCAGGGAGGAGTGCCCAGAACAAGCGTGAGCCGAATGTTGCACAGGACACTGTCCATGCATCCATCCGCCTGAGAGCAGCTTCTAGCCAGTGTGGTTATCTTCCAGACAGACATGGGTGGCCATTCGCAGTGAGGAGACCCAGCAGGCAGGCTGTGGCCTGTGACATGGGGACTCAGGGAGGCACCAATGGGCGTACCCAGAGGCAGAGGAACTCACTCATCCCTCCTGCTGAGAGCTGAGGGTTCAACTTCTGGCCCGTGAGAAATGCTTTGTAGCTTCTAGCATGATTGAAATAAAATATTTTAGCTAAATAAATAAATAGAAACAAAGTGAGAATCAAAGTAAGTAAGTAACCTCCACCTGCTCCCCTACCCCCACTGCTGCTTCCTTGATTCCGCTGCCGCCAGCCTGAGATCGCCTGGAGGTCTTCTATCTGGTTGCTGCTGCCCAGAAGAAACCGTGGCCCCCATGCAACTGAGGCCCACACTGCTGCTGACCCCCGGAGATCGCCTGGTGACGCTGCCCCCACAGCTGCCATTGTGGCTACCGCTGCTGCTGACCCACTGCCTGCTGCCAACAACCACTGCCACTTCCCCTGCCACCGTGGCCTAGAGAACTGCTGTGGGGAGACTCTGGGTTTGGCTGCAGGTGGCTGCACCCACTTGGGGACACCAGCCAGGGCCTGGGGCCTGGGTGCCAGCAGGTTTACCACCACAGGAGCCTCTGCCTGGGGACTCCAGCTGGGACCTGCAGGTCCAGTGGGGGTGCCTGCGGGTTTGGAGGAGCCTGGGGTCGTCCTGCTGAGGGAGCTGGTGGCCCTTGTCTTGCTGCTGCATCTCGGGATTGCTCCTTGGCATGAGTGTGACCTGGTGGTCCCTCTGCAAGTAGCAGCAGCACTGAGGTCTTGGGACTGCAGGTGGCCGTGCCTGGGTGACTGAAGCCCAGATCAGTGGGATAGAGACTGGGCTGGGAGGACGGATCTGGGTCTGGCGATCCCGAGAGACATCTGAGAGAGGGCTGAGAAACTGTCGAACACTGAGAGAGACAGTTCGACTTTCCAGCAAGATTTATTGTATTTTATTTTTTGATCCACTAATCTCTCTGCCATATTTGGAACAGGATGTATTTTATGCATCAGTGTGTGGAGGACAAGGACATATGATTGGTGTTTTGCAGTTTTGTGGTATTCTTATGTCTTTAATTTTTTCTGTTTGTATTCTTCCTCTCTCTGTCTGTTTTCTTGGATTTTCTTTCCCACTTTTCTCCAACCAACAGCCAATCTCTGTCGGCTCCTCTTCCACTCTTCCTGTGAACAGTGTGTACTACACCACCTCTCTTCTCTCATCCACCACTTGAAATTGTAAATCATTTTAACAGATATTCTGTTTACACTATAGACAGTTATTGAACTCATCATTGTGGTTTAATGAGAGAAAGCAGTAGATGCCTTAGTGGGAGCTATTAAGTTTAAGGCTATATATTGTGTGCACTGGGTGCTGTTGATATTGGTCTCACCAGTAACAGTGAGGTGCTGGAAACCTCAGGGACACTATAGGTCTTCAGGGTAGAACCTACCCTGCCTTAGATCCATACTTTAGATGGGAAAACACACTAACAACATGAAAAAAACAGGGGAATAAAGTGCCCCAAACAAACCAAGATGCATCAACAACAGAAGGCACCGATAATACAGTAGAAGAAATGTCCAAGAAGGAGTTCAGATTGTACATAGTTAAACTGATATGTGAAGTATAAGGAGTGAAATCAAAGAAAAAATACAGGAAGTGAAAGACCACTTCAATAAAGAGTTAGAGATCATGAAAAAAAAAAGAAAAAAAATGAAAAAAGAAAAGAAACAAGCAGAAATCATCAAAATGAAGGAATCAGTAATTGAAATTACAAATTCAACAGAAAGCATCACCAACAGATTAGACCACTTGGAAGACAGAACCTCAGACAATGAAGGCAAAATATATAACCTTGAAAGTAGAATTGACCATGCAGAGAAGATGGTAAGAAACCATGAACAGAACATCCAAGAATTATGGGATAACATGAAAAGACCAAATTAAGAGTTATCAGAATCAATGGAAGAGCAGAGGCACCAAAGGAATGCACAATCTTTTCAATGATACAGTAGCAGAAAATTTCCCAAACCTAAAGAATGGAATGGAAAATTAAATACAAGAGGCTTACAGGACCCCAAATATACAAAATTACAGCAGACCCACACCAAGACACATTATAATGAGAATGACTAACACAGAGAATAAAGATAAAATCTTAAAGGCCGTGAGAGAAAAAATCAAATTACATACAGGGGGAAACCAATTCGGATCTCAACTCCTTTCTCAGCCCAGACTCTCAAAGCTGGGAAGTCTTGGAATAATATATTTCAAGCTCTGAAAGAAAATGGGTGCCAACCAAGAATTTTATATCCAGAAAAATTAAGTTTCAGATTTGAAGATGAAATTAAAACCTTCCATGATAAGCAAAAATTAAAGAATTCACAGCTAAAAAGCTACACTACAGAGCATTCTCAACAAAATAGTCCATGAGGATGAAGTGAAAAAAAAGTGAAATCCAGCAAAGGGAGACTCTGCACTAAAGGGACATTCAACAAGTGAGAAACTAAGACAAATCCAGAAATAAATCAAAAACCAGAAATTAATCAAAATGACAGGGAATAGAAATCATATCTCAATAATGACATTGAATGCTAATAGCCTAAACTCATCAATCAAAAGACATAGGCTGGCAGATTGGATTAAAAAGCAAGACCCAACAATATGCTGTCTTCCAGAGACTCAGCTCATGGGCAAAGACATCCACAGCCGAGGGTGGAAGGCTGGGGAAAAACTGATCACTCATAAGGATTGCGTAAACAAGCACGAGTGTCCATCCTCATCTCAGATAAAGTAGACTTCAAACCAAAGTTAATCAGAAGAGACAAAGAAGGACGTTTCATACTTCTTATTGGAAGTATATATAAAGCAGGACATAACAATTATAAATATTTATGCCCCAAACAATGGAGCATCTATGTACAACGAACAAACCCTTCTCAATTTCAAGAGTCACAATCCAACAATACTGAGGGACTTTAACACACCTCTCTCACTACTGGATAGATCTTCCAAACAAAAACTAAATAAGGAAACAATAGAACTAAATAATACAATCAATAATTTAGACTTAACAGACATATATAGAATATTTCATCCATCAATGAGCAAATATACTTTCTTATCAGCGGCACATGGATCCCTCTCTAAAATAGACCATATCTTATGCCACAAGGCAACTCTTAGTAAGTACAAAAAAGAGAAATAAAAAAAAGCAGAGATAATACCCCACATTCTATCAGAACACAATGGAATATAATTAGAAATCAATGATAAAATAAAACATAAAAGCTCATGTAACAAATAGAAACTAAATAATGCACAATTAAATGATGAATGCATAGTAGAAGAAATCAAGGATGAAATAAAAAAATCTTAGAGGTAAATGAGAACACTGAAACAATATATCAAAATCTCTGAGACACTATGAAAGCAGTACTAAGAGGAAAGTTTATTGCATTGAGTGCATTCATTAAAAGAATAAAAAGTCAACAAATAAATGACCTAACTACATCTCAAAGCCTAGAAAAAGAAGAACAGATCAACACCAAAAGCATTAGAAGACAGGAAATTATTAAAATCCGAGATAAATCAATGAAATTGAGACAAAAGAAACAACTGATAAAATTGACAAAACAAAAAGTTGGTTCTTTGAAAAAAATAAATAAAACAGATAAACCCCCTGGCTGTGCTAAGGAAGAGAAAAAGAGAGAAAACTCAAATTACTAAAATACAAAATGAAGAAGGAAATATCACAAAGGACATGTCGGAAATACAGAAGATAATTAGAAACTATTTTGAAAATTTTATCTAGTAAAATAGAAAATATCAAAGACATCATCAAATATCTAGAGACATGTGACCTACCCAAACTGAGTGAGGAGGTCATACATGATTTAAACAGATCAATTTCAAGTAATGAAGTAGAAGAAGCCATCAAAAGCCTACCAACCCAGAAAAGCCCAGGACCAGATGGATTCTCAGCTGAGTTCTACAAGACTTCCAAAGAGGAATTAACACCAATACTCCTCAAAGTATTCCATGAAATAGAAAAAACTCTTTCAAACTCATTCTATGAGGCTAATATCACTCTGATTCAAAACCAGACAAAGACACATCAAGGAAAGAAAACTTCAGACCCATATCCCTGATGAACATAGATACAAAAATTCTCAATAAAATTCTGGCAAATTGCATACAAAAAATGGGATGGATTCAAATTAAAAAGTTTCTTCTCAGCAAAGGAAACATTAATAATGTGAGGAGAGAGCCTACAGATTTGGAGAAAATCTTCACCACATGCACCTCTGATAAAGCATTAATCTCTAGCATATATAAAGAACTAAAAAAACTTAACACCAAAAAAAAAAACCCCAATCAATAAATGGGCTAAGGAACTAAACAAATTGCAAAATGGAAAGCAGTATGGAGATTCCTCAGAAAATTGGGAATGGAAACACCATTTGACCCAGCTATCCCAAAGGACTTAAAATCAGCATAGTATAGTGATGCAGTCACATCAATGTTTATAGCAGCTCAATTCACAATAGCTAGACTATGGAACCAACCTAGGTGTCCCTCAACAGATGAGTGGATAAAGAAAATGTGGTATATGTGCTCAATGGAATATTACTCAGCTTTAAAGAAGAGTGAAACTATGGCATTTGCCAGTAAATGGTTGGAGTTGGAGAATATCCTGCTAAGCAAAATAAGCCAATCCCACAAAACCAAAGGCTGAATGTTTTCTCTAATATGCAGATGCTAATCCACAATAAGGCGGGGGGCACTAGGGAAGAATAGCGTTACCTTAGATTAAGCAGAGGGAAGTGATGGGAGAGAAGGAGAGGGGATGTGGGGTTAGGAAGATAGTAGGAGGAAACAGACATTATCACTGTGTGCATATATGTGACACGTGACCAATACGATTCTGCAACATGTCCACTCAGAAAAATGAGAAATCACACCCCATCTACGTACGATGTATCAAAGTGCATAAATGCATCCTACTGTCAAGTGTAAGTAATTAAAACAAATAATTTTTTTGAAAAAAGAAAGTAAATAATTACCGTGTTAGAGAAAACCCCTCACATACTTTAGCACTTTCTACTGTATCATTTATGAAAACAGATGTGTTATCTTCAGAAATTAGATTCAGGGACGCCACTGGTCCTTGGAAGGGCTTCCTCGGTGTCCACTTTGTGCCCAGTGCAGAGAATCCTAGCCCTGCAGGACAGAGTCCGGTGTGACTGACAGCTGCTGGGTTCTTAGCACTGAGCTCCCAGAGCATGGGAAGCCCCCAGGGCCCCCGACAATTCCACCCGGTCCCACCTTTCCATTAGCTACTTAACCAGCCAAGCTGGTGAAAAATGGTCAAAAGTGGTGAGATTCTCATACGTCGCAGACTCCGTGGGCCTTCGATGCAAGGCGCCCCATTTGTGATCAGTTTGCAAGACATTCTTCTAGAGGTGAAGGTCTAGAGGTGTTCATCCTGACTTCCTCCCCAACGTTTCACAGAGAGAACTGACTCCCAAGGCTTCAGACTGGACCCCCCTGGGCCCTCCTGGGCATCGCATAGACCCACCCCAGGCAAGTGGGAGCCGTGTGTCAAGGCGTGTCCACCCACACCAAATGGCCGCTTGTGCTGAAGAGGTCAGGAAGGGCAGGGAACGGGTCCCTTTGGCCTCCCCTCACTAGGAGACATCCCTCACTGCCGCTGCCCTAGTGCCACTTGTCTTCCTCGTGACTGGAGCAAGGTGGGACTAACAAGAGGTCCTGCTCCGTTCTCTCTTCCACTCAATTGCATTTATTGAGCACCGGCTGTATGCTGTATACGGGTGAGAGCGCTTCTGGAAACAGTATCCTTGTGGAAACAGGGGACCCGCTCTGGGGAAGCTCCTTAGAGAAGGCCTGCAGGCCGGATGGGCTCAGAGCGGCAAGTGCAGTCCTTGGTGAGTCAGGGGCTGGGCTGGGTTGAGGGGAGGTGGGAGGAAGGAGGGAGGAGGGAGAGGAAGAGAAAGGGAAGGTGCAAGAGCAGCTGGGATGAGGGCCAGAGCAGGGGCCTGGGCTGGGGTTGAGGCGGGACAGGAAGTGGGCATAGGCTGCCCTCGGGACCCAGGTGGACAGTCGCCCCTGGGGGCCTTGATGGGTGGATCGACACGAAGACCCACCAGACAGAAGAAGAAGGCCTGTCTGGGGAGTGAGACTCAGGCCCGCCCAGGAATGGCAGGCCTGGAGGGAGGGGGCCGTGGGGCCTGAAGGCCTGGGCTGGGGAGGCTGACCATAATCAGATTTGCGTCTAGAAAGACCACTGTCTGACCCAGGTTTGTGACGGGGACCCCGTGCTGGGGGAGGCTCCGGGACCCCTGCTCTTCCGCAGAGCTCCCTCTGGGATCCGCCCCGTCTCTGTGGTGGTCACACACAACTGCAGCTCAAGGAAAACGGGGTTTCCCGGTGCCACCTGCGCCCTGTGAGAGCGGAAACAGGACCCTGCAGAAACGGGCTCCTTCAGGCTTTCTATCTCCATCTTTACATGTTTGGTCAACACTTGGGTCTTATCTTCGTTTCAGCCACAGTCTCCTCATCAAGAGCAGAACCCACAACGGAATGAAGCGAGTCTGGCATCAGCTCCATCTCCCTCCGTCTGTGTACCCCTTCCCACTTCAGGACCTGCTGTGGAATGTGTCACAGGCGGACGTCTGGTGGAAGCCCACTAGTGCGCAGCGACGGCCTTCGGGGGGGGGGGGGGTCTGAAGCCCCGGAGCCTGTGGTGGTGGGTGGGGCATCCGGGTGTGGAGGGTGCACAGAGTAGGTGTGCTTGGGGTGCTGGGTGTGCACAGCATAGGGCTCTGAAGCCAGAGCCCGTGTCCTGTGGAAGGCACCTCACCTATGTCAAGCAATGAGAAAGGCTCACTTGTTGTTTGTAATTATTTACTCACTTTGCCAAAGTTCCAACTGCTCGGCCCAGCGGAGGTTTGGGGATCCAGGCTCGGGCAGACCCAGGTGCGCTCGCACCTGCCCACACAGGACGGCCATGACGAGCCACAGCCAGGCACTTGGCTGTTCCTTTCCTTCCCTCCTGTCATGCTGCAGCAGGGACAGCCGTCAGCCTGAGCTTGGCTCCGACTCGGGGTGCAAAGGGAAGCTCTTTCAGAACTGGCCTGGGCACGGGGCCCTGGCAGAACGCTCCTGTCTGCAGACCATCCCAGACACCCACAGCCCCAAAGCTAAGGAGCCCGAGGAGGCCCCCCGCAGGGTCAGGACGGCACTGGCGGGGGCCGGAAAGGACGCGAAGGGGGCTGGGTGAGGTGTGCAGCCCCGTTGCTGATCTTCGACCCAGGGTCCCCAGCACATCTCTGTTGTCCCTGTGGTGCTCTGGGCTCTGTGTCCACAGGACCATATGCACAGCCCACTGCAGTGTCGTTTATCACCCCGAAAAACAGCCAACCTGCTTCCTGGAGGGGGGCAGGGTTGCCCAAACTGTGGCTTGTCCATGGCTCAGAAGATCGTGCCGACATTGGAGGGAGGATTTTGGATATCTCAGTAAGAAAATTAAAATGGAAAATGATATTCAAAAATATGAAATGGCAGAGTGAAAGATCAGAATAGAAAACCGTGGTTACATGAAATTTCAGCTAAGAGAAAATGTATGCATGTGAGAAATGGTAATAGATTCACTTCATCAGGGTGGAAAGTGCTTTTTGTTCTAGTTTTCTGCTTTTCTAATGTTCTGCTTTTATAACTGAATGCTGTATTTGAATAATAAAAGGGTGTTTTCTTTCGCAGCACCAGGAAGTGCCTTGGGTGGTGGGGCCCAGTCTGTCTGAGCAGAGGCAGCCTGGCGACCAGAGCCTCCGGTGAGCTGGGGTGCCAGTTCTGGCCACAGACAGACACGGTGACAGGTGTGTGTGGGCCCCAGGGACAGGACTGGTACATGAGTGGCCACTGCACCACACTCAGTGTGGTTGGTGGCACGCTGCCTGGCCCACTCCTCATCTCCCATGCATGTTAGAATCTGTTGTCTTTGGATGTGCGAGGGCCACCGTTGCTAAGCACCACAACTGAGAAGTGCTGTCCACAGCTCTGGAGCCTGGCATCTGGGACCGGGATTGGGGAGCTGCTCTTTCAGGGCTGGGGAGGGTCTCCCAGACCTCACCCCTGGGCTGACAGGTACTGGGTCTCCCCGTCTCTTTATACCATCTTCTCTATGTGCCTGTCCACCTCTGTGGACCTCACCTAAGCAAGCCTCTATGGAGGCTTCATTCTGAGGTCCAGGGTGGGATTCCCACTCACCCTTTAAGGGCAGACATGATCAACCCACAAAGGCCCTTTCTCTAAAGTCTGAAAATTCCTACAGACAGGAAGAGGCACACCTGCCCCTACAGAGGAAGGAACTGAGAAGTCACAGTGACCGACAGCCCACCAGCAGCAGGCCTCGAGCTGGGCTGGGTGGACTCTGCTGTTGGCCTTCACCCCTCTCCGGGGGACTCAGGCTGCATCCCCTTCTGGGTTTGTAGCAGGAGCTACGGTGCTGGAGGCTCTTGTTCAATATACAGAAACTCAGGCGACAATTTCAAACCCCAATTCCAGAGAGGCTGGGATTTTCTGGGTAGAAATGTGAATCTGAGAGACAACCTTGTTGTCTGTTTCAGTGACTCCCCAAGTAGGAGAGCTGACTGTCTTTGGAAGGTGAGCGGGCGGGAGCCCTGCACCCTCCAGCCCTGCTCACAGTCCACACCCCCACCCAGCAAGGCCAGCTGCTGCCCACGGCCTCCATGCTCACACCTGCCCAGGTGACTGGAGAAGAGAGTGGGTCCAGAGCCCTCTGTCAGATGGAGCACCCCAGAGAGGGCGAGAGAGGGTGCCCGGGCTGGGCTGTGGGCAAGGGCTCTGCGGCCAGGGGGAACGCACAGAGGAGAGAAGGCTCGCCGCGCTGTACGGTCATTCTTGGTCCTCCTCCATGGCTTGGGCAGCAGGCTGGGAACGCAACGCAGCTTCTGCGGAATGGACAGAGGCCACTCAGGCCTAGCACCTCGGCAGGGGTCACCTCCAGAGGAGCTCCCTGGCCGCAGCCCAGGGCAGCAGGCCCAGACCTTCCCTCACTATAGAGCATTCGCCTGCTGACGTTCTGCAGAGCTTGCTTTCTTGATTTCACTATTTATGCACAAATAATTACTCATAAAATTTATTAGTTTAGTTCTTCATTTCAGCAAAACTGGTGTTTGTGTCTCTGTGAGATAATGCAATTGCTCTGTAAGAAAAGCCATGCTCGTCCCAGGGGCACACCCATCTTCACCATGGCTCCGCCCTGGCGGGTGCCTGGGCAATCATCCAGCACAGGGAGGGCTGCCTCCCTCCAGACAGCTGCCTTCCACAGGCCTGTAAGAGGCCAGCTCTGCCCCGCCTCCTGATGGACCCTGCCGGTCCCTGGCCCGCCTGCCCGCAGGTGCTGCCAGCGTCCCCCAACCAGCACCCGGCTGCAGGAGCCGGCAGGCCGAGGGGCAGCCAAGGGGAAGCTGAGGGCTGGCTCCTGCATCATGGCTCTCGACCCCGCGGCGGCTCAACATCTCCCGGGTCAGCCCACTGTGCAGGGGCTCCGGCACAGGTTCCTGAAACCACCCGGGAGGCCGAACAAGGCAGCCTGGTGCAGGACACGGCTGCCACCCCGGATCCAAGATTGACAGACACAGACCACCGACTCCTCGGGCGGGGGCAAGCCTCGGGGTGCCAGCTGTCGCCACTGTCAGGCTGTGAGGCAGCAGGGTGACCAGGACTGGCAGGTCCAGACTGCCTGGCTGCACACACCTGCCCTCCCCATCCCTGCAGCCATCTCCCACCTGCACCAGGGACTCTTCAGTCCCGTGTGTAGACCGAGGGGCTCTGTGTCGGGTACGGAAGTGCTGGGCCTTGTCTCTAGGAGAACTCCAATGAGGACACCTTCTGGAACTTTCCAAGTGCTTGGGACGAATGAGAACATGTACAGCCTTCTCACAGGGGAGAGAAGATGCTCTCTCAGAGGCACAGCCACACTGAGACCCAGCTGGACACAGTCCCCTGGTCCCCATGACACCTGGCTGCCATGCCCAGAGGGGCAGTCGCACAGCCACCCAGGCCGCGCCACACCCACCCCCCCACCTCACCGGCCTGCAGGGTGCCGTGCCCCATGGGTCACGTCAGGAAAGAGGGCACAGGCCCTCACTCACATACAGCACCAGAAACAGTCCAGGGCAGAGGACAACATGCAGGAGAACGGTGAGTCCCTGTCCAGGGCACCCACAGTGGCGCCCTGCCTGGGAGGCCGTCCCTCTCTGCCCCACGGTCGTCTGGGCAGCTTTCAGATCTAACTCCGTCTCTTCCCACCTTCCTCCTGCTGCGCCCTGCAGCCCGAGGCCTTCCGCCCGACTCACCAAACAGCATAGTGGACTTGTGAAGCAACAGTGCTGAGAGTCAGGCGTGGATAGGAAGGAAAAGTGGTTTCTAAACCCCAGAGGCCTGGGAAGGAGGGAGGGCAGGATGCAGGCCCCTCACGGCCTGCCCAGCGGGACTGGGGCTCCAGCGACTGGACCAGAGGAGCGGCTCTGAGGCCAGCCTCCGCTCCCTGGCTGCAGAGAGCAGAACAGGAGGGTGGACACTGCCCAGAGTGGCCCAGGAGTGGCTGAGCCCAGTGATGCTCATTTTTCTGGTTTATGAAATGAGGGTGACCATAGAGTCTGCGTGGTTTTAAAAAGAAATGCAGAGCAGGTGGGATGTGTCTGCCGCTCAGAGGACGATGGGCTCTTTTCTCGGGTCTTGGTCTTCATCTGCAACCCCTCTAAGTTCCCACATCCCCAGTGCGCATGCTTTGCCTGATACTTCCCATTTCTCATTACTAGTTCAGTGAAACAGTAAAGTGCTTGCAACTTGATTTTCTCTCCCAAAGAAACGTGTGTTCTATTAGTAAGTCAAAAGTGTCGACAGGTTTTGTAAGGTTGAGGCCAGGCCTCTGTGTCTGATGACGACAGGATGCTTGTCTCTGACGCGCTGTTCTGCCTGCCCCGCCAAGCCTGGTGTTGATCGCTGCAGCAGTCCAAGGCCTCCTGGCAGCTGGGTCCTGTGGCCAGGCGTCTGCTCTGCTCTAACAAGCAGCACCGCCTGAAGCCGCAGGGCATGCTCCTGTGGGCCTGGCTGAAAGACAGGTGTAGATAGGACGCCTAGAAATCGGTGTGCGCGTGGCGTGTCCCTGCTGTCTAACTCCGAGTGGTCTCAGGCAGACAGTGCTGTCTCTGAGTGAGGCACCGGAGTGAAGGACTTCGGACTTGAGCTCTGACTCCAGGATCAGGATGGACACATTCCTTTGATCACCCCGGACTTCTGATGGGTGTTCACAGGCCCCGGGTCCCCCTTGGTCCCTGACAGCCACCACGGTGGGGAGTGGAGAGGACAGGGCTGGCTGTGCTCTGTGGGGTGCAGACTCTGAAGGGAGGACTGCCCCGGAGCTGACTTCAACCCCAACCCGTGAGCACAGGCAGAACCAAGCACGTGCCCTGGGAGGGTGGAGGACGAACCCTGGCCCCCGGGGCCCCCTCCCAGCCCCTGGCTCCCATCCTTCCTGACTTCAGTTGCACCCACAGAGGATCTTGCTTTAGAGCCTCTTGCCCTCCAGCACTGGGACAGGGACCGGGCCAGGAAGGCCCAGCCTGCAAGCCTCGGGTGTCAGACTCAGTTAGATGCGACGGAGCCAACTCGGGGAAGGCAAAGGGTCTCCCGAGCAAGGAGACAAGCGGAGAGGTTCGCCTCTTGTGTGGAACGGCAGGACGGGCGGGAAGCCCGCTGCAGGTCCCACACGCAGCTCAGTGACCTGCCCACTTACTGCTGTCGCTCAGGTGTGGACAAGCCTGGTCGGGACTTCTCTCCATGAGCAAAGAAGGCTTTGAAACACCCCCGAGCGTGCGGGACTCGGGAGCCAGTGCGGCCTGGGCCCTCCTACCTTGTCCAGGGCCCAGTGCTCGGGCCTCGCCTAGCGCCTGCCCGGAGCTCTCCAGTCAAGTGTCCCTCCCAGCGTGTCTCTCAGGCCAGCTCCCGGTGAGCAAGACAGAGCCCCAGAATGGGAAGAACCTGGGGACATGAGGGACCCCGAAGGGCACAGGACCCCAAGGCTCTAAAGACCCCAGGCTGGAGGGGGATCAGGAACCTTAGGAGACCTGGGAAGGGGACCCCAGGACAGCGGGGGTGATGGTGCATTGGGCCAGAGGCAGGACTTGCGGGATGCAGGATGGAGACTGCTGGCCCGGCTGAAGCACTCCTGCCCTCCCACCCTGTTCCCTGGAGAAGGTGATAGCCTCATGAACACGTGTCCTCCCCTGTGGGAGAGCGGGAGGTGGGACAGGAAGATGGGGTCAGGCTCCTGCTCTGAGCTGGAGTCTGAGTCAAGCTTAAACCCAACACGCGCTGGTCTCAGGCAGACAGTGTCTCTCTCTCCTCAGGATTCTGGCCCCTCCAGGGGGTCCTGTGAGAATAAAAGACACCCAGGAGCTTGTGGTGCCGCAGCCGGGGGACCCAGCACCAGGACCTGACTCTGTGCCTGGTCTTGGCCACTCTCTCAGTCTGTGTGCTGCATGCACAGAGGAACCAGTCCAGTGCAGCACCCTGACCTGTGTGCCGCAGGGGGGACACGAGCCCGTCCTCAGGACCCCAGCCCACCCAATGCTCCCACCTCCTTGCTCCTGCCCGGCCGGGGAAGCTGGGGCTTTGACAAGGTGGCATGTGCTTGCATTTTACCCGTTTCTCCTGCCCACCCCAGGTCCAGGCT